GTTTCTATGTTCAACAAAAGAGTATGACAATTTTTTGTTATCTGACTACTTTTATACCTTGTCTCAAAAAGAATGAGAAAGGATCCACCTTTTATGAAGGATTATGTTTGTATTTTACTCAATGACAAACCCGTTTATTATTAAATTTAAAAGTTATTATTTATTTCCTTAAGAATAATAACTGCTGTTCCGATTTTCTAAATCGATATAGTCACCTTTCATATTCAAAATCTCTTATAACATATTAGAAATCCTGAATTATAAGCACAGTATTCTTACAAATTTTCAATAACATGTTGCATAATAAACTAAGAATTATGATTCATTAAAATAAACATTTGGTTGAAACGTATCAAATTACACTGATTTTTAACACATCTGAATGCTTGTTATGTAGTTACCAAGGTAACTCCCGGAAGCAAACATATATCTTTACATAAAAAAATTATTTCCACAAAAACATAGCAAGTAGTCTTACTGTTATCAGACATATCACTTAAAAGATATGCTAGAATTTTTCTATTTTAGATAAGAACTAAATCATGAGACTAAATTAAAACAAAGCTACTTGTCAACTCATCAGTGATGTAATTAATTAAACATGATAAACTAAATAATTTGGTCACAATGTGGACTGAAAAATTTGACTAGATAAAATTGTTCAACAGATTCTTGGATTAATTATTAGTGCCTGATTATATAGACGATAGTGTTTTATAAGTATCGATAAAATATGAATTATTATTATTAATTATTTGAAATTATTAAAATGGTTTAAAATTAATTAAATTTTAAGTAACTAGTTTCTGGTTGATAAGAGATTTTTATTTATAATGGCAAAATGTAATAGAAAATCTTCCAATTATTTTTTTTAAAGAAACGTTTAATTATTACTAATAATTTTAATTAGAATGTATTGTCAATTAGAATTTTTTCTTACTAAGTTTTTATAACCAAGTTATAATGAGTATTATTGTTTACCTATTAAAATATCCTACTGAAAAATTATTAGTTTATGCCATGAACTAGTTAATTTCTGTATTATATATATATATATATATATATATATATATATATATATATATATATATCATCACTTTTCGGGATAAAAGTCTATTTAAGTGCGTCTAACTAAATAGTTAAGTGATTATAGTAATGACAATTCAGATCAAGGCATGTTCTGATAACGACAACACCAAAAGTAAAGTTCAACTGACTGTTATTTTAGTGAGTTATTGAAAATCCCGTATTCACTTTATTGTCATTGTAATTGATTATTGTAAAGAAACTGTGGTTTCATAGCATTATGAGTTCAGAGAACAAAACTCCATCAAAATACTGAGTAGTAATTTAAATGACTGTATTTGAATTAAAATATATTGGGCTCATTAACGCAATATAAGTAGCAAAACATTATCTAATTATTTCAGTAACCAGGTAATTTAGTGTAACAATGAACAGATTTCAGAATTGGTTGTCCACAAACATACTCCTGATAAACATTACTGACCTCTTTAATTAATTGTACATTTTCTACCTGTTTCTTCTAAAAATTCTTCATGATCTAGTATTACTTCACACTGTCAAAGTACACTCCATATTTAAAAGTGTGTACATTATAACAATCATTGGGGTTATTATGAATAGCTGTTTAAGATCAGTAGTGACTGGTTTGTTTATTTCATAAGTTGTGATTTGTTAAGATCAAGGCTTAAATCGAACGCGCTATTTAGCCAAGATAATTATTATTCAATAGATAATGCATAAGCTTCATTAGAATCCTAAGGAACATCTAAATGACTGCGTTATATTCTGCTGTGTTTATTAATTTATATACTTGTGGACACATATGGAGTAATGATCGTAAAAGTTGCTGAACATGTATTAAAATAGTTGTAAAAACGAATAAGGTCAAACGACACGATAAAAGCAGATAAAAAGTACTCATTTTCCTCAAATGCTAAGTAGTGGAAACTATTCATGAAAATAATTTAAAGCCATCCTTTGTGATTTGTATAAAATGCATCTAGTGAATATATTTGGACTCTTTGTAACCCTAAGTGAATGAAAGTTCAAATTTCTCAGTGCAAAGAATAATTTGTACATTCGCTAAGACTATTCAAATAATATTCACTTCATACAAAAAAATTTTTGATCTACATTATTTTTCCTTATTATCATCTAATAATTCAAGTTAACTTATTTAACCTTATACAAATATGTTAATGTAAATACGTGGTTGGATTGTATCAAATGCTCTGCAATAATATGTCACATAGATATGAGAAATGTCGTCTTATTGGATTATCTAAATTTATCGAAACGCTTAGTTGTTCTAAATTATCGCTGTTACCGATCCCTCAATTTTCATACTTGAATTTGAGGACTTGATCTAAAACAATCGGAAAATTCTTAAATATTTTGTAATCACTATCTCAACACAACTATAGGAATTCAGTCAGTTTTGAATTTCATTAAAGTCATTGGGGAATACACTCAACAGTTTCCACAAACAAATATTTTTATGAATCCTATCATATGTTTATTCAGTAGAATAATTTTTATAACGTTCAATCAATTTACATATAAATATTTTAGCATTGTATTTATGTTGGTTATTTTATATATTACTCATAAGAATGTTTTTGCTATATTGATAATGAGCTTGAAACTCTGCTTTGACAACCGCAGATAAAGGGCGGCCTGCTTGAGTTTCTGGGCTACCTGTTCCTGCCATCTAGATATTTCAACAAGTTATCTATTTTTGTTTGTTTTAATATATCACTATGTTTATTAATCGCATGACCTATTCTGCTGCGTTTCTGAAAAGTGTACAACCTTTCGTTGTCAAAGTTACAAAAAACTCAATAAGAGACAATGTGATTGCTGGCAATATACAACGAAAAGAATGCACATTATTCAGATGTTCATTTAATGAACTGCTAATATCTAACTGGCGATCACTCAGTATTTATCGCCAGGACCGATCAAGAAGAAAGAAACGGAAACTTGTTGAAATACTTTACGCTGAGAATTCTATATTGTACCAAAAATATAATATTGAATAAAGCTAATAATAATAATAATTTCAGATGTTTATTAAGATATAAACCTATATATCACTGATTTTCTATTTTGCATTTATTTCTTTTTTGGTAAATACATTAAACTGTTAATTTTCTAAGAAATTAATCACATTTTACAACTTATTAGATAGGAAGCAAAAACATTAAAGGATCATTTCATTTCTGAATAAACAGTTAACCAAAATATTCATTCAAACACTTAAACTCTCTATATTATATGCACATAACCGGTTTTATGAATTTATGTTTCATGTACTATTGTGAATTAACTAAAAAATAAGTCTCATCTATATCCCCTTACATCTTTCCTACGTTTTATGCTTTCGCTGAAAATTCTATTGGTGAATAACTCATTTCATTTTCTGTTGTGCATTGTTATGAACATCACTCGTAAATGTTAGTGATCTAAATCTTGTCCCCAGGTTACACCTCAGACAAAAGTTTACAACTACATTTATTTTAAATGTTATCCAAAATAGTCTGTAACATTTCTCCGATAGTATGAGTTATGGGTACGTTTTATAAACTGATATATGATTCCCCTTAATATAGCTCAATGTTTGACTTTATCCATCGTCAGTGCATTGATAAACGATATGTAAAATTTTATTTACCTCTTGACTTACGAATTTTTTATTCACCTACTTCAACCGTAGACTTTAATGTGTTTGAATGCACTTATCTTATTTTTAAACGAAAATTTATTTTCCATCACTTTTACTAAGTTTATTGAAATTGACAGATTATTATAATCATTGTAATTTATTTACTGCATATACAAGCTTTACGCATGAATAGTGTTTAAAGCAAAGAGTAGTATATAATTGACAAAAATATATTAGTTTTATTACTTTTTATCTGTTTTATCGATAATTCCATGAGTAATATATCACTTATAGATAATCTACTGCTTGTATGAAGTAGTTGTTTTGTTTTTACCAAGTATCACCAATCTGAACATATGCAGAAACATGAAACTATCAAACGAAGGTAAACTGGCGAAGAGTTGCTTGAGAGAATATAAATGTTCGCAAATAATGAGACTAGTTGGTGAATCATCCTATCAAATGATAATTCTAAGACTAGAACAATCTCAAATACATAACTTATGTTTTTAATCTGTAAATTAAGTAGAAACAATTGCCTACTGACCTCATCGAAGGCAATAAATGTGTCATAATATATATATTTATGTATAATTAGTTTCTTCATTTAAAACCATCAGTTGAATTTTTTTATTTCAGCTTTTAAGCATTGTCTTGTGAAGTTACCTGTTCCGAAATTCGAGTGTTTTTAAATGAGTGTCAAAACATCAAAATTACCCATAAATCTGCACAGCCGATATAAGCTTAAAAATATCTCTGACATTTGAAAATAGTATATTATTCTGGTTTCTCACCAGTTCTGTACCCCGAGTTCCACTCATCAATGATTTTTCACGACTTTTAACATGTATTTCGTGCATCAGAATGATAATGGTTCAGATCATTTACGGAACACTTATTTTGATTAACTAATGTCAATTAATGTACCATTTGTAATGAATGATTAGTATCACAAGTGGACATTATATTTCTAAAGGATTCATATTTCATAAACCTTATGGATCTAAATTTCTGACAAGAAAATGAATGATATTCGTATAACTGAACTGCGGATTTTACGAATTTATGGAATCATTATTTTGTAAAAGATTAGTACTTAAGTTCATAATTACTGCGATTACGTTATAATGATGTTTCAAGTAAGGTCAGTTAGAAAATGATATGTTGTGTATTGTCAGAGACGCATGGGCGAATATTAGAAAGTCATTCAGTGCATACTTAAAAATATAACTATGATAACTGGTATCCATTTGTAATAAAACTAACCACAATTCCGTCCTTCTTACTTCCGTTATGCATAAAAATTTAGTTTTGTTGAAATATACAATGAAAAAATTCATGATTTACTTAACAATACAAAGGAACAATCATCAATGCGTATTCGTGAACATCCTGATGATGGACCATATGTAGAAGGTAATGCTTTTTAATCATTTATTTTTTTAAACAACATTCTTCAGATCCATAAAAATTAGTGAAACATTAATCTAATGATTTTGTTTTATACAATAGTTTACCAATAACGTATTTCGATGTATTGACGTAAATAAGAACAAAATAACTAGAATATCAGTACCGTAAGCATATAGAATAGACACAATACTAGGCTGTGTTGTACTAGATAGAAGTGAAGTTAACGTTTGTTTTAGTCACTAAATTATATCACGAAATCCAGACCACTTATCAGTTGGTCAGTAACTTAATTCTCGAACATGTCGAGCACTGGTAAATTGTATATGAAGTAGGTTTGGAATTAGTTAACATTACTTATTTACTACTAGTTTTACCGCTATAATATACTTTTTTATTTTTAACAGGTTTAACAAAAGCAACTTTAACTGATGTTAAGACTTTACGTACAGTCATTGGTAAAAGTATTAAAAATAGGTAAGTGTCGTAAATTGCTTATATTCTTCAACAGTATCAAATATGTAGCACGACTAGTGTATGAGGGTCATATAAAATGCTAGAGACAGTGAGTTCGTCATATTTAAGCTGTTTTACCGAGCAATACTTACTAAGACATCTAAGTTTATGAAATTAAGCTGTTGAATATTAGTGTTTTTTATATACCGGTGACTTTTTGTACAACAAATAAATCTAATCTTATTAGAAAGTGATGTTTTTTTACAATAAAGACAATAGTTAGTTTATATGTTTGGAATATATGTTTCGTACAATAAGTGTTCAATTGTCTGAAGCGCTGAATTTTTGAGTCAAAATTCATTTTAATTAGTTTCTAAAATGTGTAATTTAAGTGACTATAGATTTACTTATCTTATGATAAACAGTAACACAACTAAAATCAATTTTAAATGCTGTTCACAGTTACCTGAACCGTTACACATTATATTTTGTTATGTTTTTCTGCACTTCAGTCATATCTTTAGCAGTGACAATGAACTAATACATGTATCAATAAATTTATTTAAATATTCATATTAGACTATCAAAAATTTCAATAGGTAATTTTTTCGTAACTAACTGAATAGTGTGGGCAAGAGGTGCTTTGATCATTATAGTTATAAGAAGGAAAAATTTAAACCAAACAAAATTTTTACGGATTTCCATATTTAAGCTATTGCTTGAGATAAGATTATTACTTTGATGAATTTTTCTATAATTCAGGAAATGTGAAACTAAAAGCACCACATATGTATTGAGTCAAAGTACTTTGAACGTAAAACCATAAATTTCTGTAGGGAGGAAGATTTCATATCTTTACTAGTTATCTGGCAATTTTAATGTCTAACGATTCAATCATGCACTTATTCAACATTTTTGGACATAACTATGTTATCCATTTGCCTGTTTCAATAAGTTTTTTATATTACAACGTTTTATTCTGTATTCCTCCAGTTTGTAACATCTCTTTCCTGATAAAAATATGACATATTGTCAAGTAGTCTTTATGTGCGGTTTTTTTTTTAATTACATAAATGTTATTATTTTCATATTTACTCCCAAGACTGTTTATCATTTGACAAAGTTAGGACTAATAGTCTTTTAATAAAGTTACGTGGTTGCTGTATTTATCCACATTTATACAGTAATCATATGCCATTACCTATGATTTTTTTTCCGTAAGTTTAAAACATGAACATTCTTCAGTGATCTTTATTTCAGACTAAAAATAATCCGTTATGCACAGTATCCTTTCCAAAATTTACTACATCGTAACTGTATTGTGTTAATTCTAGCCGATTGAGACAATAAAATCCTGTAATTGCTGTATTACTTGAAATAAATATTTTCTGATTCTGGAAATGAGTTGTTCATATAGGTTTTTCACTAATGGCTTAAGAACTTATACGGCAACATTATACATATATTAGTTGAAATGTTTGAAGGGGACCTGCTTGAATATGGAACTATTTTGATAGCCTAAGATTATATTTTACACTTTTCCAGTAAACTTGCATAATAATAACAATGTATAAATCACTAGAAAAATATCTCTCAAACAAGTTTATTCTCAAAGTAGAGCTGGATTATTTATGGAGATATAGTGACACGCTATTTATAGGAAATTTATTTACATTGTCCTTCACAATTTTATGAATGCAGAACAGTGTGAATCAGTTCACATTTGTGGGGTAATCTTTTCTCGGTACTCAGACAAACATTAATTTTATGAGTTAACCCTAAACATAACTGGAAAATCAAGAAACATGGGTATGTGAAAATAAATGATCTTGATCTGCTTTAAAGAAATTTAGTAACGTAGTGTTCGTAAAAATGAACTCGAGAGCTTTAAGACATTGAGATGTTGAAAAAGTTTTACAGCTCAGATGTATGATTTAGGTGGAGTTTTGTTCTTTGAGCTCAAAGTATCTACGTTAAAGATTTTGTGCGATTTCGACGAAAATCTTTTGCTTAGTATAGTGTTCAAGAAGTTAAATTACGATTTCTGGTGAAATTGATTGTATAATCTACATCGGTCAGGTTTCCGTATTACGCAGTAAAAATTATGATACCCTATTTGTATCAATTTTCATAGAACTAACAGTAATTTAAAAATTTTATTTGTTGTGTGGTATTTTTAGAACTACAGCCGCTAACCACAATCACGAAAAAAGTAGCAGAAGTCACGTAATTTGCACACTCTATTATCATGAGGTAGGTTTATACTATGTAATATCAATATCCATCAACAAATCAGTATTATGCCGTAATATAAGAGTGAATCTCTGAAAATATTTTTGTTATGTTGTTAACATCATAAAAGTAATCAACACTTGCCTGGTTATAGTAATTTAGAAGAAGTTTGTTTACGAACGATTCACAACATTTGTGTATTCATATGATTTCATAAAAATATTACTTCTAACTTGTTTTATTTTTGTGAACAAGCCACTATTTTATTATCAGATTTCGCAATAAACGGAAGTGACAAATAGTAAGCACACTGAAGTACCATTTTTATTCGGCACTAAGAAAAATTTCTATGTTCATTATTTGACTTTTCTAAGCCTCGTTAATTTATCCGTTACTTGAAAAAATATGCTTCCTAATTTTCCATAATAATTTACTTAGACCGTTCATTTGTTAAAGAATTACTACTTCTAATAGGATTTCTTTCAATAATCGTCTGACTTATTCTTCTCACTTTCCAGTTATATATGATCGATTAAATATTACTTCGGCTATATGTAAAGACTTCGACCTTCTAACGTACTTTTCTATTAAACATTTCTTAATTAAGCTAACGAATTTGCTTCCAGTAAGTATTCTAGATAATAAAAAGTTCGTCCATTCAAATCTATACCAGAAAATGTGCTTTTTCAGATTAGTAATTGTTTATTAACTTCATTATGTTGATTAGAAAAGATAAATTCGCATATTTTATTTCGTACAAAACGATCAGCTTGCAAATACGATGTGTAACACGTAGGTGATGCAAGTAAGCAAAACACTGACGGCTTGGAAAGATACCTCATGAAATCATAAAAACTGTTCACAATACATTTGCTTTCAAATAAATTATGATTCGATAACTCGTTAGGCACAAACATTGCCAAATATTGTTTATATCTCAGGACAGTGTATCAATGTGACCATAAGGGCAAATTAAAACATGAAATATCAAGTAAATGAAATCTGATGTTTTTATGTAAATAGAAAATGCAGTTTCTATTAAAGTTTTGAGTGGTTTTAGTGCTAGAAAATCGTATCCAAAAAATTTGATTTACGTTTATTTTAGGAAAGATCTGGAAATGATTTTCCAAGAACGATAAACAGTAAACTCTGTCTAATTGATTTGGCTGGAAGGTAGGTTTCCAAAATATTTTATCTACTAAAATTTTATTATGTATTTAAATTATTTTCATACTCATGAATCGCCTGATGACAATGTTTTCACTTCTTCTACAAGTAGTAAACAACTTGCTATTGGATTAGCTGAATACATTTAGACAATTTCACGACTTACCTGTGACAGAATATTCGAGAATATAGACGGTATATAAGTTATAGAGGGGTGGCTTGATTATTCAAGGACTCGGATTTTAATAAATGAATCGAAAATTCAAGTCACATTACTAGCACTAAGATAAAGAGTGTGGTTTACAGTCAAATATATTAATCTGAACTTCGCAAATAAGTCACGTTATACAAAAATCGACATTTAATCACCATTTACAATAAAATTCGGATATTATCGTTAATTTTTTTATCTTACTGAACATATCATTTTAGTTGAGTTTTAAACAAAAAACGAATATGACAGAGTGTGCTAATTCAGTGTTTTGTTTCAGTTAGAAGTAAACACTTAAACCAGTAACAAAATGGCCTCAGAAATCATGATAGTATTAATTTTATTTACGCATGTATTTTTAAAAATCTGTTTCAACCTTATGATAGTTATTTTTCCATATAAATCATTTCATGAAAGTTATGCTATTTTATACTAAAAGAAATAGCATCTTATGTTTCCCGTTTCAAAACTGAGAAATAAATTAAGTAATCTCATAAATTCTGAAGTTCATTAGTTTATCAGTAATGAGAATTCAGCCAGTGTTCAAACAGTCAAACGTGTTAGACCATCCAATGATTCAGCAGTTTATTAACTTTACTTTTCTGCTTTAGATTATCCTTAGACGTTTCTATTGAACCACCTTCCTATTGTAAACATTCAGTCATTAGTGACGAATTGGTTTTATTCGGGTTTTAATAGTAGTGATCATTATATTGAATATAAAAATGAGCATTCCACTTACTGAGGCTAACTGATCTAATTGTCATAATTATCTATGTCATCATTATTTTTTATGATCTATATGCTTAGATCTTTGATTTAAAAGGCATTCACTCAATCAATATGTTGAGTTATAAGGTGACCAATACATGTTTGTATATATACAGTTGAGATTTCAGTATTTTTTTGATAATTATTTTAGTGAACGTGTACATAATTTGAATAACAGTAAACGTTTCAATGAAGGTCGAAAAATCAACCTATCCTTATCATGTTTGAGTACAGTTATCGGAAAACTAGGTGAGCTATACATAACATTTGTATGTTTTAACTTTAGTGTATCTGTGGACGTGGTGTGGAAGCGTTTGATACGGTATCCGTGCATTCCTTAAACCCGTTAAGTTCATCTTCTGTCAATTCATATAACAAACCCGTTCGTATTCAAATAATGTGTTTGATTCCTAATAATCCTGACTTTATTCCATCGATGTAATTAAATACACCACGTTTCTGAAAAAGATAACTTTGGAGGATGTAGCTACAACAAAGTGACTTCCGGTGTGATTTATTTTCACAGCTTATCAAAAATGTGATTCAGGCTGGACAAGTCTCATCAAACCAATACTTTTCCTTATTGCCACTTAACCCTTCCTTGTGTTTAAATAACAGAAAAAAGTTAATGTCACTCATTAGCTAATAACTGACAATTGTTATTGCGCCACACAGAGAAAAACATATTTACTTCAAAATATTCAAGTCTTCAAAGTTCGTTTATCATACTTATCAATAATCAAGGCAAATCAAAGAGTTCCACGTAAACAGAAATATCTTCGAAATATTTTTTCCATCGTTCCTATTGTATAGTTATATGATATTATTGAACTTTTGTGTAACTATATAGAGTACTAAAGTTTGATTAGACCTAATTCACAAATTTGCAGTCTTCCAAGACGTTTAGCGCACTTCATAAATAATTTATGTAAGCAAGTAAGCATAATATGAACAACAAGGGAATTCATAAGGTTCAAAAATGGATCTGTCAAAAAAACGCAATTGGTATGCTTTGTACTACATGATAATGCACCATTAATTTGGTTGAACCGGTTAAAGAGGCAGTTTACGTTTCAAAGTATCCAGTCAGCCATGGTAGGCTTCTATGAATGATTTATTCTAGCTGTTCGTCTTTAATCATTGATCAGGTGATATTCGTTCATGACGAAAACTTTTCTAAGCAAATGAATTGTCCACATCTGATATTTCCAGGTATTCATTATTTTGACTTTCCACCCCGCAATTATTCATTATGGACATTAGTGCTGATTAGATTTCCAATATCTCGAGATTCAAGGAAACAAATACTAATTATGAATTTCAGTATTCTGTTCGACTAATGAGTCAGTTATTTGAAAGCTAGCTATTAATGTACAATACACTTAAATAAGGCTAGGCGTCACTTGTATTGTAGTTTGATCCCTTTCATATTAGGTGTTTTTTTTGTTTGGCTGAGTTTGCTTCCACAAGTTCACCACGCAGTTGTTTGTGTTTTCTTCTGTGAGTGGTTTTGGAATCTTGACTATTTTTTCCCGAGAGTTCTTTTCTTTGTTCTCTGGATCGTCCGCACGATACCTTGATGGCTGATGTCAAGATTGCCAAATATTCTGATGTGAATATCATCTCTAGCCTCTCTTTTTGATCATCCATCACGTGTTGTCATTTATAAATCCTGTAATGTGCATTAGTTATCATTAGGTGTACTAATTGCCTTCCACTTTGCTCAGCTCTTCTTCATACCGTTGGGAAGTTAATTGGAGGTCAATGTCCTAAACTTGTTGGCAGAAAATGCCGACGAAGACACTCGTGTAGAGAATACTGTTGTTTTTGAGCGGAAGCCTGGCTTTTGGCGAAATTCTCCCATTTTCGAACAATGAGAAGAGTGCTTTGCTCATATGATTTTGAAATGGTGGCGGATGCAGTAATCACCAGAACCGACATAGTAAAACTGGGAACTCAAGTATATATGAAGCCGAGCCACATCTGTTAAACTCTCAATTACAATATCAACAACCCAAAAACTCACAAAATCAACTGCGTACAAACCTTATTCAAGAGGAGGAGGAAGCACTACAACATGCTTGCGGCGCGGAAAAATGAAGAAAAATATCTGAAGACTATCTTTCTAAAGAACAGTTACCCAATCAACTTTGTAGTCGCGTAGATTCGTTAATCGATCACGGTGGTAAACGTCATTACATAAATCCCAACAGTGTTTGAAATCAGAAGACAGTAAGAAGCAGTGACTACAGTTTATTAGCGGATAGCACAGATCACAAGGCTACAACCACATCGTGCTAGTTTAAAGACGAGAGGCGAATGCGTGTGTATGCGAGGAAATTAATGGTCAAACCGAATACGGTGCAGAGAGGAAAGGCAAAGACTAATAATAGGAGTGCATGTATACATGGTAAAGAGATTGACTCATCGAGCGTTACTTAAACATATTAACATTTTAACTAGAGTGATATGTGCGTAGGCTGTCAGTGATCAAGCGTACACGTTTATACAGAAATGGTTGTGATCATAGTAGTACACAGAAATGTTCGAATTGTTATTGTCCGAGTAACATTGTCTGTCAAATAAGTTAATAAAAGGGCTTAACAAAATTTTACCATAATCAAAACTGATCGTAGGAAAGTTACCATAATTTCAAAAAATAACAACCATACTCAACAGTGAAAACAAAACTAAGTACAGAAACCAACTTACTGATCATCCTACCATGCGTAAAAGACATAAGAAATTATGAATAGATTATGGAAGCCTTTTGGATTAGGTGTATCACACAAGCTAACAGAATCACTTCAATCAATCCTGTGAAAACCAAATAAATAACAAAGGAAGAAAAACCGAAAATCATCTGACTGGAAACATTTTGAGATCTTGGATAGAGGGAGTTCTAAAAACACCGGAGAACCGTTAGAGGCTTGACGCTTAGGTAGATCAGCAACCAGTAAATACATTGAAATCGACTTGATCTATCAACCAATTAGAAAAAATCATGGATAAATATCGGACAGAGAATCAAATCAATGGGAGATGCAATCAGAATAAAGAAGTAAACAATGACAGGGTAAATGTCAGTGATAGCCAATCAAAATCGAGGTCTACAGGATAGGCTGTGAGTTATATGTGGAGGAATTCGAACACTTCAGTTCTACCAGACGTTTGTGCTGATGATGTTGTTCAGAAGAACGATAAAAGTTCCATGAAGAAACCATCTAGCTCGGAAAATTAGACTTCATCAAAACTTTATCCACTCCACTTTTAACTTTTGTTGTGTGGTTTCCGACTCTAAGTGACGTATTATATGTAGTAAGCTGAAAACTCAGAGGCTCATACACTTTTCTGCTAAGTAGCGGTTATCAGTCTACAAGATGAAATGTTTTCGTGTTTATTCACTTATATCATTTTGGTGAGTTCAGCTTATTATGTTAACCATAATCTCTTTAATTTTAATTTAGCTGAAAGAAATTCAATCTTTACCAATGATTCGGAACTGGCTGCACATAGTAGTCAGTCCACATTGAATAGTACCAGAAGTTCTCACCATTCTAGTACTCATTACAGCAGTTCATTTCATATTCCTTATCGAAATTCCAAGTTAACATGGCTGTTAAGAGATTCTTTGGGCGGAAATTCACATACCACAATGATAGCAAGTAAATAAACTATCAATATTGTTGTTCTGATTTTAAAATGTTTAACGATTTCAGTTTTCGTATAACCTTCATGCAAATCAGCTTCATGTAATTTTCTAATGAATAATATAATGGATCAGTAAAATAATGTTTTATCACGTAAACGGAAAATATATGGATAAAAGACAATATTTAAATGACATAATTATGAGTTACAATAATAAAACAGGTCAGCAGTAAATAAAAATATGATGGGATAAAACATACTATTCTCTGAAGTTGCGTAGTAAGAATGAGTCTATTGATTTATTTTAACTTACTGCAAGGAAGTGCATTATTTTGTCCTGTACAGAATATACAAAAACAATTAAAGGTTTAAAAAAATATTTTAAGTCTTTTACTTAAGTTGTATAATTTACAAGAGCACTTAAGATGTCATTTATGTCAGCTCAATCATGTTTAAAATCCTTTTAATTCGAGAATATTTAATTTTAAATTTTACGGTAGGTCTTGATTGTATTGATGTGCTTGAATAAATTATTTAATTAGGGTTCACCAGGAAACGAATAAATCTACTAACGATACTTTTCAACCCCTTAAGTACAAACACAGAGTTTCTTTGAGCTCCCTAAAAAATTTATGATAATAATAGCCCTGTTTTCAAAAAATCCGTTTATGTCAAGGAAAATCCTAAACTTTTTCCAACAACATTAACCATTTTAAAAATCGAATCAAAAAACCTTACACTATGCGTAGTGAAATATCTTTGTCAACGCTGAAGATAAAATACAGATAGGTAAATATTAGGCAATAGATATGGAAGAATTTCAAGAATCATTGATGAGACTGATTCTGTATATATGAATTTTGTATAAGTGAAAACTGAGAAATATATATCAACAGATAACTAAAAATGTGAATTTGTTGTCACACTGTATGTATAATTTATTACAACGAAGATAAACTATCAAAGTTGAAAAGGCAGGGTTTTTTAATTGAAGGAATAAATCGCTACGTTTCACAACCAGATATTAGGAAAATACGCCACTAAGGCAATATAACATTAATGGCATCTTTAAATTCATTTCATATTGTTTATTTGCATCTTCTCATTGCTGTTTAATACTGTGATTGATCAGTCTCTTATTAACATAAATGCATCATGTGAGGATTGCTTCGATCGATTGCAGTCCTAAGTATAAATGGGAAGATTCAAAAAAGCAATACAAAATGAATCTGAACTTCACCCCATTGCACAAGCTAGTATCTACCAGGACTCAGTAGCTGAGGAGATAACGTGGTAACGTTTGAGATGGTCGGTACTGGGTTCGTGTCCCAAGGTAGACATCGACCCGGGTAAATCTATGTCCGACTGACATGTCCCAAATAGGATGGAACGTGCATCCTGGATCCCACTGCTGCCCTCCATCCATCTTTGTTTATAATAATAGGTTGTTTTTGAATGGATGGATTTACTTTTATTGTTCTGGTGGCTTTGGGAGTCTCAGTAATTTGTCTAAATCCTTTGCTTATTGATTATCCAATATTAGCGTTATGCTCACAATTACCCAGATGATATGGAAGATGACTCTCATTCCTCTCCGATCTGTGTATCTACATCATCATAAACACAGAAACTAATAGAGATAAATGATAGTACTTATTAATTAACTTTTAGTTATCTCAAAATTTATTCAATCTGTCCAAAACTAAGTTCTTTGATCAAAGCATTTTGTAAGGTCATCAACATATATCCTATTGATGAATAAACTTTAAAATCACCCATCGCTTTTATCTTGATTTCTACAGTCCAAAATATATAATATATAATTGATTCCATTATACACTGCATTTAGCTATGATTTACTATCTATAAACCAAAAACTAAAAATTTAATGAATTTCAAAAAATATGATTTTTTAAGTGTTTTTTATTGAGTTATTTCACTTTTTGACAGCTATATCACCCTCTTACAAACATTACAACGAAACGTTGAATACTCTACGCTATGCTCAACAAGCCAAGTTGATCAAAAATGCACCCAAAGTGAATGAGGTAAATAACATAAAATTTAAAGAATCATTTATATTTTCTTATGACTTTGTTCATTAGGATTCATGCACAACTTATATAAAACAACTGTTGAACGAAATTTCGACATTGAAACAAAGGCTTTATGAAAAAGATTATTATACAGTTGGAAGAGTAAGTCAGTAAAGACTTAGATTTTTCGATTGCTTTTATTTTTGATAGCTTCCTCCAATCATGAATTAATGTTTAACATTTTTTAATATTTACAAATTTTGTAAACTGTAGAGAAAATGATAGAATCATTTAGACACCGAAAATTACATAAATGATTCTTGTTTTCTCACAATCAGTCCAATGGCTTGTGGTCACCTGAATATCTGGTAGGGTATTAGGTTTGAGAACAGTTTATATTTTATAAATGTGATGAAATAACACGAATAGAAAACAAGCACTTCATTGTTCTGGTGGAAATGGTCAAATGTTCAAGTATTTGACTTCTACAGTAACAGTTAGGTAACAACTTGTGACAGTGAACATATTTATCAAAAAATAGTACTAACATAAGTCTGCAAATAACTGACTAAATAATAGAAATAACTGGGTAAATAGTAGTTTTCAAATTCGTCCATAACCGATAGTCTAGTCACTTGAAACTTCAATCAATATCCTGAATAAATAGATTAGGTAATAACATATTAAAACCGCTTGGCCACTGAGTCACAATTAAGGTGAAAAAAATTCCACTAGTGTGCTTCAATGAAGATGACATATAGATCCAAGTCATTCTAGCGATTCCCTTCAACAAGCTAACAGTAAAAGGTGTTTATCTATCTGCACATTTTAATTCTGTTATTCCAAAACTCTCTTACCAAATAAGAATTTTTTAACATCGTATTAATCACCCTAAAGGCTGGCATCTTTTTCAGAAATGCCGCTTATTATTTCGTGAACCTGAATATCTTTAAATAAGAGTGAAAATTTCGGTTTAAGCCCACTTGAAATCCGAAATCTGAACTTTAAAATTATTATGAGAAACATAGTTTCGGTACTTTTTTTGTAATTATTTAAAACTAAAATCTTCAAATAAATGGTCAGTGGTACTCAACAAACCGTTATTTACTTCGTATACTCAAAAATTGAACAACTTCAAATATGACATTATCGGTCAATCGTATATGCGTAAATTTCAGCTTAGCCGTAGTCATAGTGAGTCAGTAAACGAATGTCATGGGCTGAAGAAATAATACATTACATTTGTCAGATAATCTGATGATATATGTTTATTTAGTGCTTTTCTAGAAACCATCATAATTAGTACAATCGTTAACCTGAGATCTCTATATATTTTAGTATTTAGATCATACTAAAAGTTTGAACAAACGCAAATCACTACTCCGAAAATCCAGTTCAGAAAGTTCAGTAAGTTTGTGTTTATAAAAACAATTATTACAAATGAAAACCCGTTTGCAATATTTTATTAAATTTAAAAGATGTTATTGAAAATTAAAGTTACTTAGCTTAAGGAATCAAAACAGCTAGATATGCAATGAATATATATGATCCCTATATGACACTGAGATGTATACAAAGCGAACGAGAATATTTAGAATGATTCTTTATATCATTAAACACTTATGGTAAAGAATTTTTGAATTCGTCAGTTAAAACTTGTATATACATTCAACATATTTTGTAAGTGAACTGGAAAGTTTATTTCTAAAACTAATTACTTGTTAGCCTTACTGCGAACCTTCACTGAAATACATATTCGGAAATAACACACAATGTGAATAACTAGGAATAAATTTAAATTACTCAGTCTTCATTTGTTTACATTTGATTTTTTAGATGCAAAATCAAGCCTTTTCAAACAATTTGAACGAGTCCTCAGATTTCAAAGAACTTCCTTTACAATGCATATCTGCAAAATACCAAGAAAATAACATTGGTTTGTTTATACCAGTTTATAACTTTGCCAAAAAAAGTCCTTGGAAATGGGGACATTTTTAGAAATTATAGACATAACTTCGCAGTGTTTTATTACTATTCACTTCCTCATAATCATTTTAATATCTACCCAAAAAAGAACTGCAAAACTAGTGACTACTCATCAGTAGTATACTTAAGTTGGAGAATTATTTTTCTCAGTTATTCTCATTAAGATAAAATGGCGAGTAAAAATTACATAAACTCTACTCTAAGGCGTATACACTTCTATCCTTCTTATATGTTTTTAGTTCTCCGTTATACAATTTATATACGTTGAAATCTCTCTCCTCTATAACAAGATATCTCATTTACTTTGAATTCATGGATCGATCATTGTTAGACGACCATTGAAAACAGGAAAGTAATGGACGCGTTTTGTCCCATAATCGGACTCCTCAGCAATGCGCATCCACGACCTCACATGCAAGACTCAAGTTCTGTCTTGCGTACAAACACTTAAGCCTTAAACCGCTGAGCCGATAGCCAACGGTGTTCATGTCTAGTTTCAATCAATACACGAAATTGAGCGACCGTCTTCCCTTGTGTTCTATGGGTAACTGTCTGACTATCAACACGGAGTAACTTTATCGGTAACAACGTGTCATTTACTGACAAATATTTCCATCTTAAATTTTATGCGAGATGATTTAGAATTTTAGAGTGTACCCACGAAATGCTAACGTATTTCAACAATCAAACTCAAAATCTATTAAGAAAAATACTTATGAATAAATAATTATCAAGCATGAGACACACTTTTTATAGAGGTTAGTACATTGAGAATACTAACTGACCAGTTGAAGTGATATAGCTATGCATTACATAAAAAGACTGTTAGATTTGATGTTACAACTAAAATCTTTATGTATTCAACGTAACATCTATCTGCTCACCGACAAAAAGACATCTGAGCTAAGAAACAAGCAGTAGTATGCTCAACTGATTAGTAATGTATTATTATTTTCTAACTTGCAAAAATGCTGTCTATTTACCCGGTTCATATATCTTGTCTTATTTACAGATATTCTAACTACATCATATGGAAAGTATGTACAGCCATTCAAAACTCAAAATTCTGATGACAAAATGGTAAGTCGAAGCCTTAATAATTATTCTTATTATTGCTAAGCACATATTAAATCATGTTTTATTTACAGTGTTTAAATCTTGAGATGGTGGAGAAGATTTGTAGCTCAGGTGGATGATTTTACTGGAGTTTTGTTCTCTGAGCTGGATGGTTTGGTCGTGGAGTTTTCATCGTTCTTCTGAACGACATCATCAGCACAAACTTCAGATAGAGGTGAAGTGTTCGAATTTCTCCATATGCGTTTCACAGCTTGTTATGTACACCTCGATGTTGATTGGTTCTTATTGACCTTAAGTTTTCATTGTTTACTCCTTTGTTTTGGTTGTGTGCACAAATATGGGAACAAAAATCAAACCATCTCAAACCTCTACTGTAGAAAGTGCTAAGCAGAAATACTGCATTCTGCAGTTTTCAATAAATGTTATCAGCATTACGTGCAAATTTAAGACAAGAAAGACCATATTAGTAGATTGTAATTACATAGGTTTTTCAGGAACTTTAAACAAAATCCTGTAGTTCCTTTTGATCATACATATTCTTTAATTTTATAGAAAATAACAATAAGAAAAATGAGACTGCAAATTGTCTTGTGTTTTGTTTTACTCGTTTATGTAAATGATATTTTACTGAAAATTATCTCATTAGGAAAACCAGACTATTCTCAATTTATAAACAGATTCTTTTCTACAATTGACATTGTAGTATTTTTGTTATGTTAAATTACTATTTACAATTATCGATAAATAAATTATTGTTGGTCGTTATATAGTAATTGAACTGATGTTTATTGATTTTAAAACTACCTTTTAATATTACCGATAATAATAGTAATCAAAATATTATTTTGCACTCCACAACCGCTCTTTTGCATTGACCTCAATACACTTCAATACAAATGAACAATTCAAAAATCTATTTACCATAAATACATCACTTGATTGGAAATTTAAATCAACCAATCAGCTAAATATAATACCAATGGCACTTAAGTCAAGCATCAAACTGTTAGATAATGGTCTATGTCTTTATAAGATGCTGTAGTTTAGTTATGTAATCCCAAATAAACGTTATTTTTATTCCACGTCATGCTGTTTCTGTAGGTGATGTAAAAGACAATTCTAGTAACCTGATAATTAAACAATAATCCATTATGATATTACGTCACAGTTTTAAAAATTTAACAGCACAACCTAATACTAATCATCAGTGGATGAAATTGTTTTTTCTGAAGAGAAATACTTCTTATTATAACCGTCCGTCAATCTATCCTTATTTTATTAATTCTGTTTATCAAATATATTCTCAGAAATTTAATGGTCACGACCACCAGCATTCCGACCAACAACAACAAACCTGTCAACTGCTTTATGATAGTCAATCATCATTGACTGTGGATCAAAGTACACAAACTATACAAGTGGAAGAATATGAAAAAACTTGCTTTGATTATCTACACAGGGTAGAATTACTGAATTTCTTCTGTAATAGAATGAATAGGTAAGAGGGAAATCTGTTTTATATCGTTACATTTGATTCACAAGAGCTAAGATCCATATCTTTCAGTTATTAATAAATTTCAATGTTAGGTTGCATAAAATCCGTCATATCTAACATTAGGTATTTTTAATATTATTTCATAAATAAATCCAGCTGATAAGTTATTACAATAATTTTTCACGACGTATTTTTGGTTATTCTGAAACTATATACGACAGTCGTTCACTATGTGTTCAGCAACAACTATTAGCACACTTGGATTCTTTTATACAAAATAAACCCAACAATTTGTCCTAAATTAGATCAGATGGATTGTAATATTCGTTTATTGATAGACTCATGACCTGTTAGTATATTTAAGGAATTCATACAACATATTATCTGAGTTATATTAACGGAGGTGTTAAACTTTTAGTTGATTCGGTAATAAAAACCAAAACATTTTATATAAAATATAAAATTAAGAAGTTCGAAACGTAAGTAACTGTTTTCTTTTAATTCGTTATCTACTTACTGTTTAAGTGGCCTTATGATTTTTTTGTTAGGTTATGCATTTAATCTTTTTTTATATTGATTAATGTGGGCAAAAACTATATTAATCAAAACTGTTAAGTTTCTTGTTGTTTTCTGATTGGATATTTTAATTCCTCCCAATTTCTTTTCTAATCAATATGAATCATTTGATGCAAGTGACTTGGTAAATAATAATGACTCGAATTATTCAATCCTTTCACCATTACTGTTTATTTCTTTAAAGTATTCCTTTTTTAAGATGAATTTTACAACAATTAATTATTATAATATGCAATAATTTTATATCATTACTTTTCCAACTATTTATACTGTAAATGTAGAAAATTTATTCTAACAAAATTACTGTAGACGTTTAAGTACCTTTAATAATGAATTATTATTCACAAAATTATCATTTATGTTAAAGAACACTTTATTAGTTACTAACATCATAATATTTATTAAAACAGACATTTTTCAAAATGATCAATATTCTTTGTATGATTACTCCTACATTTGTATGAAAAGTAACTTCATTGTGGATACATTGTACAAGATCACAAATATTAGTAATAATATATATATATATATATTTATATCCTAGCGATACATGTATTTGTACGCTTCTAAATGAAAATATAAAGCTTTTATATCATGGCTTAAAAGTCTGAAAAAATAAATATTACTTAAAGAATATATATTAGAAGTTGGAACATTGGTTTTCTATGAAATTAAGGTTTCGTTTTTAGTCTGCTGCAAGAACAACAGTGATGTCTGTCAAAAATGTTAAGGAGTTCGTAAATAAAGATCTATAAATTTTGGCCACATCTCCATAATAATGAGTGTTCCAAACTGTTTAAGTGATCTATAAAACCAGTACGAATAAGGCGATACCTTTATATACATTAAAGAAATGTTTATTCATTTAAATTGAGAGGACGTAAATATCAGAAATACAAGTAGTACAAAAAGGTGATGTAATTATCTGATAGTTATAAAATACCTTTCACATGTCGAACTAGAATTCAGCTTTCTATACAAAAAAATATTCTTTTAAGTTTACCCTGGTTTCATTTGATACTTATGTGATTTTGAATTTTCTTATCAGATTTCCATCCAAGGAAACAATGGAACAACACGATAGGTGTGCAACAACAATTCATTTGACTAACCTGCCAGAAAGTGTTTTGAATTCCGGCATAGTTAGTAACACGTCAGCTAATTTGCATATATCTAACTATCCTAATCTGTTGGATAGGGATTCAGTTTATCATAAATCAACTGCGAATTATCAGGATGGTCAAGACAGATCCAATGAGAATGATGAAAATGATGAAATGCTTCTTAAAGCTAGATCAATGTCCTCTGGTGATACTGGTTCTGAAAATTATGAGGAGAAAGAAGATACAAGAGATCATTTCAATTTTGATCTAAGTAAGGAACCAAGCAAGATTTTCGCATTGAAGCAAGATTTTTCTGAAGGTAAAAAAGCAATGCAAAAGTTTCAGTCTCTGAATTTTCCAACATCAACACCTAAACAAATTTCTAAAGTCAATGAACTACAAATGAGAAAAAAGCTATTTCTAAGCAAATTAAGGAATGTTAGTTATTCTTGGAGAATGTCTGCCAAGAAAAGATCAAAATTCACAGACAAATTCAGCAAACGGATGAAATTTGACAGTAATTCTAAGCAAAGAATAAAAAATAGAGTGTCAAAAACGTTCAAAGGTGAAAATGCTACTTCAATGTTTCCATGTAATCAATATCACCTTACGAAGATAAGTAAATGTACCAACCTGAATTCATCCATCAAAAGTAGTGAATTGACTGCTTCCCTACTTTCATCTACAGATTTACGACTTACCCATAGCCCAGAACTTACTAAAGGTCAGAATGAATATGATGTAATAAATGTGGAACATAAATCTCATATAAAACTTGATCCAAGTTCATTAACAACTCCAAACTTAGCTACCACAGCATGTTTTTCGTCTCCGTCTTCTGATAAGACTACTATATCTGATTTACAGGACAACGATGCAACATCAGAACAGGTTGTTACATTCAATAAAAGCCATATAAATATACAACCAGCCCAAAACAGAAAAACATACGAGTTTAATGACAGCACAGATATATCCTTGAATTTGAATGACAGTTTAGAAGAATTTGATGGTAGTGACACAAGTTTCGACTTGACAACTAGTATCGAAGTAAATAAAAATGACGGATTTTATTCTGTTCAACCAAGCGATATTCAACGCACCTTCGACACATCTCTTTCTTCTCCTTCATCCATACGGTAAGCGCTAACGGGTCACAAAATAATAAGATTACTGTCATATTCAGTGGTATGCTTGTAACTTGATTTTCAGCTGAGCTACTTCGATTTATGCCTTTTCTGGTCCTTCATGGTCCATATTACTCACAGATAGTAAAGAAACTTTCATATGGCATAAATTATTTTGGATGATATGATTTCATTATTAAGAAAAAACACAGGATAAAAAATTGATTATTCATTTTGATAGATGAAAAGTGACATTAAGCACAAGGGCTTTAACATCAGTTCAACATCTTAAAAGTGCAATAAATTGAGTATTAACAAAAATGGATTTACTAATAACGCCAAAATCAAAATCGTTTTTTAATGAAACTAACATCAACAAATTAAAACAAACCTTAGTGATTCATAGAATTACTAGAAAATGATCGCTCGTTTATTTTACCATTAAAGAAAGGGGGTTACGAAAGCAATTATTTCTTTGTAAAAAAATATGTTAAAAAACAAACCAATGAAAATGTACATAGCATTTTGTCACTTGTAAATTTTACTTAAAAATACATATGATTGGAAATCAAAGGAGAAACAATTAAAAAATAATACATATGGCTTATAAAGTGATCATACAGAGACACACATACTCTAGTAAAGTTAATTCTCCAGTTATATGAGCCCATTCCCTCAAGGGTGTCTGTTTACCTAAATGGTTCATTCTTATACTTCAGTCTATTCCTTACTGATCTTTATTTATATTTTTATGAGATGTCCGATAAAAATATACAGCTAGTTAGGTTCATGGTTTAGGTTATTTACATGACTACGATACTTCATATTATTTTTTTTAGCATGATTACATGGAGTTTATTTTTCTGATCGAACATAGTACGCAAACTTTTCATACCTTACTAATTCATATATATTTACATTTGTCAGTCAATCTGTCAAAGTGGTTATCCATAAATAAATAGAAACTATTCAAAGGCGATAATTATAATTTATTTTCTTTGAGCTTACTACTGATTGCCTTAACATGGTATACCATTTCAAATAATTTTCCATCCTAAATCACAAAACAATTAGCATAAATGTGTAAAAATGATAAAACGGAAATTATGAGTAGAAACTTTATTTCACTAAAAATACCTTAATTGAACAGTTTAATGTGAAATGTACGAAGAAAAATAAGTGGCAGATGTATTTTCGCCCAAGTGAATCATATGAGGTCATACTGTCACCATAGTGATACTCAATGAATTGTATTTTTCAATTACCAATTTAAGTACTTCGATAACAAACAAAGACGCCTTGGTAAAATCAATTAGACTATTTTGCTTCTATGACCAAATTGTTTCAAAAAAATGTCTTATGGTTATCATGTAAATATATTCCATTTAATTATTAATAATCATATCGTAACACATCATTTGAAAATATTCACTTGTTTATATGTTAAATAGCTGAAAAACTTACAGCTTTGAAGCAAATTACTTGAAATGATTTGTTTATCGTAATTAGTCGTTTGAAAGTAGTTATTCAGTTTCCTGAGTCACAGTTCGAACAGTTCTAAAGTATTCAAGTTCATTCTCAATATATAACATCTCTTAGCCCTAGACTCAAAAGCTCGGCTTCAGGTACGAACAGTGTTTACTTATTCATTTATGTGACAACCAAATACTGGTTAAATGAAAAGTTTAAATTCACTTTAATATTCCATCAAGGAAAATTTGTTAAACAAATTTAAGCGTTAAGTTATTAAACGACTACTGTAATTCATTTGTTGGGGGTTTTAGGATTTTTCATAAGCCAGAGAAGATATTAGTTTGTGTTTCATTTACAATTTAAAAATCATGTTTCTCAACATACTAGGTATTTTCTGATATTCATCTCTCACCTATGAGAAAATGAGGTTTACAAGTGATTTAATTTACTTTAGTGTTCAACTCCAAATCATGAAATCCAATATGACTTGCTGGATTTATTTAAGATAGATGAAAATTAGCTTTAAGTACTTAATATCTACAGAGGAAAACTGGAACCATTAACGCATGCTTCCATGTGCTTGTAAAACGATTGGCTAAAAGTACGATTTTGAGAGAGTGAATTTTTTTCAGTGATTTAACAATGAATTTCTTCTAGTTTGTGAACTGATGTAATTAGTTGATTGTTTAGTTCGTTCTTATTATCAGCTGAATCGATTGGTAAGTGAATAGATTAATAACAGTACAGACCTAACAAAGAAATTAAAACTTTATTGTTAGGATGTATTTTCTGTAATAAATATTTTAGGTATATTCCTATTAACAAATTCAGTATGAACAACACATCATCCATATTACAATAATCTGTGCACATCTCACTTTGAGAATATTTTGAATGTTTATATGATTTATCTACTTGTAAGTAGCTAATGTAATCAAAGTAAATTAATTGTTTTCATTGCTTCAGCATGGAAGATCTTTCTCTTGAAGAAGAAGCCCATGACTTGAAGAGTAAAAATGGTAGGTCTGTTCATTAATTGGTACTAAAACTAGTTATATCTTTCTTGCAATATTTCAGTGAGATCACATTTTAAATAATATGCTTTCTTCACTAATTCAACTTCATGTTTTATGTAAGCTGGCAAGTGATTTTGTAGCTATTTTTATCGAACAAACATTTACATAATTGTTCAGGAAGTAAAAATCTATAAGGTCCAACAAATTTTTTCACAAAGCTTTAAATAAACATTCAATAGTCATCACTAGAATTAATAACGTTTACACTTAAAACTTATCCACTTATGAATGCGAAATTCTCGTGTCATTCAGTTTAGGAGAATATTTTGAATTGTATGGTCGTTTAATACCATCCTATTTCTTACTGATCACATTTTATATCACAACAAGGCTGATTGTCAAGAATATTCATGGAAAAAGACATCATACGATTTTTCGCTCGGCAAATTGTGAGACCTCTTATGCCTTTCTGGTGTAAAATAGAATGACCCATACAAGATTTTCAAGTATACTTTGGGTATCACCGTTGTAGAATATCAATAGACAACCATAAAATGTCTAGAGACTTTAAAATATTACATTTCAACCGTATAGTTCGTAAACATCACTGATGTGTAAATAATATTAAAACCAAACTTATATGTTGATTTATAATTACTTAATAAGTTAGCTTAACTCATGGTTTGTTGCATAAGGTTCTCTTCAGACAGTCACAAACTTTAATCTGTAAGGGTTTCGTTAAGTGTAACATATGTTTGCCTAAAATTACTGGGAATGTTGCATGTACACCAGACATTTTTAAACCGTCATCGTTGCGCTGTCCGTTTTATAGTACTCACTGTCTATTATAAAGGCGTTATATGGTCGACATATACACTTTTTTCAGAATGAAGAATAGGTATTATTGGTGAACTATATCGTATAAGATTTTTTTGTCTTACTTTCAACTGGATACATTTTGTAGAGATCTTTAATTGACTGATATCTTGTCACATATAACCTTCAAAGCAACTCATTTGGAAATCTAATTAGGTATCAAATAGTCAGTATGTGAAAACAAAAGATGTCATTATAAAATTAGATTTGCTAGGATTTCAGTTCCTGAGTTATTTTATGCCTAAAGCGCAGCAATATGCCTATACAATGGATATATCTTGATGAACATTACATTCTCATGAATCACAAATTGTTACGTGTAACTGGATAAAATTCACTTTAAAACTGTTACGTTACTTGTCTTCGCTGACACTCATAGTGGCTTCACCTCATTCCAACGTATCCGTAGACTGTGTCAAAAAGGCACATTTTACGGCCGTTGTTACTGAAATTTTAGTATCATCAACTTCATATCAATATTTATGAAATTAACGTTACAAGAAAATTTACATATGAAGACAAATTTCCTTAAGGGTCATGAATACGTATTATAGGAAATTCAAAAAGAAATAACATATATATTTTACGAATAACGACTGACAGATAGTTATCACTTATATAGTAAAAAGATGATTGCTTGCTGAGTAACTTGAAAAACACACGAAGTGTATGCTTCTTTTTATTTTAAATATATTGGGGTTTTCTGTAGGATAAAATAAAGCGATCTATGAAAGCTGTTATCGTTGGTTTGAAAATACGTCATTATTTAACTATCCGTGATGAATTACACAATTATGTGTTCCATATTTTCTACATAAAATGCACTACAATTATCTTTGTGTTAGTCTTTTGATTTGACTATTCTGTGTTATTATGAAACTATTGCGTCTTAGTTAGTGTCTCACTGTTAAAATTGTTGGAACGCGTTACGATCCTTGAGATATTTTCTCATTGTAATAACAGCTGATCTAATATCTGTTTCTACTGAATGTCATGCATTTTATTACGTCATATTGTGATAGTAGTCTATCCAGACATGTTTATTACTCACTATCTAGATTTAGAATATTACATCTGTAATTAGACAGTAGAATACTGTGGTGACCAAAATGTTTTAGCTCGGTTATTTACAAGCTATAGCTTTACTGTTTCCATGGTCTCTCAATTATTACTACTCATATGCCTGCTTGAAGAAAAATCACATCTATTCGTCGATTGTATAGTTTTTTTTTAAAGCTACTCATGAGTAGTCCACAAGACTGCACGAAAACGTTGTACTTTACAGTTTGAGTGAATATATGTATATTCCCTAAATCATAATAATTTCAGTAAACAAACGGTGACTCGTTAGTGATGCAACAAATTGTTGCACAAAGCTTGTGGGATTGTCATTCGTATTACTATACACGTATGTTTCAGCGTCATTTTTTAAATCTGTTCTAATTAATTCATATTTTATGAATATGGGCTGGGAAAGAAACTTCTACTACGAATGACTAACACTTAGTCATATTCATTAAATATTCATATTGTATGAGCAAATTGTTTTCACAGCACTTCTCGTTACTACTGAGTCAGTTAGTATTATTTTTCTAATTTATGTTTACTAGCCAAAACACTCATTAACTTGAACAAATTTGCTATTATTCATACCTTGACATGCTTCCATCAGCAATGACATGTCTGGCGAAAGATGATGCATTTCTAAGAAATGGTAGAAGTTTGATGAGCACAACTTATTTATTTTTAACTGAGTGCTTGTTTACAAATTAACCCTTGGATAAAATGAATCTGTACACAATCCTGTATCATGTGCTATTTTGTTCGTTACTTTATTGAATTGGTACCGAGGCTTTTCTTTTTTAGGATTATCTTAACGTCTAGCAGTTTATAGATATGTTACCTTTGTAACTAACAGGAATTAATTATCATGTTGAAAGTTCAAGTACTAAAGACAGCCTAATTATGTGGTTTCGAATTTGTATATGGTTTATTGAAAAATATACTATGTTTTAACCTTGTGAAACTTAAAGTGTATACAGAAAATTGGTAGCTTTTGTAGTTATATTGACAGTGTCCTTTGTCATTAATATGATGCTAAAACCTAGTAACAGTTTATCACTCTATCAATGGATGATTTCCCCATATTCTCAAATGAATAAATCTACTAATTCATGTTATATGTAAGCGAGCTCGTTGATCACGACTTCATATTGAAAATTTATCAACTGTCACGTAGTTATCCACTACTGGGGAGACAGCTTGTGAAAATAAGTTTATCTCGTTAAAATCAATCTATTTGTCAGCCACATTTAATTTTTACTTCAAATACATTTATTATGCTTAGTGTAAATTAATGACTTGACAAAATAGGGTTAGTTTTAATTATTTTCATAGTTTCCTTTTATTATTTGATCACATATCCAATTAACAATTTAATGTAAAGCATTATGAGATGAATATAGAATACATACAAACATTTGTATTTGATTCGTTTATTAAGCGTACTATAATGTTTTGTTAATATATGTATAATTGTACCTAGAGAACTTATCGAGATTGAAAAATAAGAAATAATTAACTAAAAAAACGATTACTACCATATTTAACTAATTTTTATTATTTTTGTTAGCACTTCTTATATTTTACAAGTAGTAGAGATTATTGTTTTTCATTATATCAAAAATTGTTAATTAACAGATATATTCACTTCCTGCCTTTGTTTCATTAGAATAACCTTGATATGTACTTACCTCCTGGTTGTTTGCTTTGCTTCTGTTCTACTTTGTAAAATTCACCCTTCCAAATGCTCTTTTAATTGACCACACAGACTAAACTAATGCCATTGAGTTCTGATTGGTAAATTTAACTGGCTTTCTGAGAAAGAAAAAATGCATATATATTCACATACTCAAGTGGATTGTATACACTATTTAAATCATATATCTGTAGGAAAATAATTATTTTCTGTCTACCTTAACTAGTAGATTTGCATTTTGGTTACACAATTTAAATAACTGCCTTCATTATACTTAAGTTAAAAAGTAAAATGATCAAATTACATGGAATTAAGTAATTTAACTCAGTAATTTATATCAATAATTCCATCGATTCATACACTGTAAACTCATGCAAGATGTGCTCGTTAAATTGGATATCATGTTTCATAAAAGTTTGAAAAAATCAAAAGTCTATAATATAAACTCTAGTTAATTATCAACGTTCGTTATTGGAAATATTTTAGTATGGGTTCTTGTTTATCATGCTGTCAAAGAAGTAAGTAGTATTCACTTTTGTTACATGCATGGAAGATATTCAATCAGTTCTTCAATGCAAACTGGTTCATTGTATTTTTATAATATTCTTCTAACGATTTTAAGTCGCTAAGAACAAATGTATTATTTTAGATAATCTATCTCATAAAGAGTTAAATAATTAATGCATAAAAGATAATAACTTTATGACAATTATCATTCTGATAAGTAGATATGTTTCAATTATTTTTTTAGTTAACTTAATTTTGTCTTCATTACATTGCATATTCCTTGCGTTAACTTATTCGTAATACTGTCTTGGCGAAATTGATAACTGTGAAGCAACAGCCATGGATATTATACATGTGACATAAAACGTGCTAATATGTAATGTATATTGTCTTGATTGGTGAATTTTTGTGAAAATTAGAAATCTAGTGAGTAATATTTGTTAAAAACGAAGTATTTCATTATCCTCTTACATTCAGAATTTTTAACTTGAACTTTTAAAATTGGGTGGTGTTTATATTGCGAAATCGTCTACGGTTTTTTGCACTTTCAAATCTGATATAGAATTCATCTAAATTGTCCATTTTACTTGGTACTAAATATTTTTACGTGAAATTCTTTGTAACTAAATGCATTAGGAAAATGGTCGGTAAACGTAATTGTTACGATTAGCTCTGTTTATATGCTATTTAAACCGTATTAACATG